AAGGCTGCGGCGAGAAATTTGCAGCATGGCGAAGTGGTGATGGAGCTCCTTCTTGAGCAGCGAGGGGGAGAGATTCAGATCACAGAGGAGGTAGTAAAGGCTGCGGCGGGAAATGGGCAATGGTAAGGAGGTGATGGCGCTCCTCCTTGAGCGGCGGGGGGAACAGATCATAATCACGGAGGAAGTGGTGAAGGCTGCGGCGGGGAATTGGAGGGATGGCAAGGAAGTGATGGCCATCCTTCTTGAGCAGCGAGGAGACGAGATCACGATCACAGAGGAGGTGGTCAAGGCTGCCGCAGGCAATGAAGGAAATGGCCAACAAATATTGCAACTTCTCTTTGATCGGCGTAGAGAAGAAGCTGCAGCCTCAGTTACGGACATGACGCTGCTCACAGCTGCAACATGTGGCCAGGATGGGGTTCTGGACCTTATATCCCGACAGAATGGTCTTATCCCAGCCAACGACGAACACCGCAGTGTCGCGAAATTCTATAATGCAGCAAAAGCTGGAAACGCACGTTGTGTCGAACAGCTCATACAGGAAGGCGCGAAGCCCAATTTAAGGAATCCCAGGGGGATAACGCCCTTATGGATCGCAGCAGAAGAGGGACACGATGCGGTCGTTCGGATTCTAGCGCAAAGGCCAGACGTGGACGCCAACTCACTATCGATTGGCGGGAGATCACCGCTGTTTTGGCCATCACACTGTGGTTATGAGAAGGTTGTAGCTATTCTACTGGAGGCCAAAGCGGACCCGGGCCTTGTGGACGAAAACGGAGACACAGCAGTCACCGTGGCACGAAAGAATGGACATGAGAACATTGCCAAGGCGCTTGAGAAATTTCAGCATCTTACGCAAGATGAGAACAGTTAGCTCCTGTCGAAGTGCTTCAGGCTCTGTTGTATAGATACTCGAGTCGTGACGCAGTGCGACAAGCAAACTTGCCACTACTTGCCCGTCTGGAGATCCTTTTATCAGGAAAACAATTGACTTATTCGAGAGGAATCAGTATTTACTATCTCAAGCCTAGGATGACCCCACTCGGTGGTGACAAAGAACGAACACTCTATTTACCAGTACAAAATGCTATATTTCATCTACTGCAATCTTTCAAGCCTTACTCGCGAAGCTTTACGCCATGCACGGTTTGAACGTGGTTTTTAAAGTGATCCAAGCTTGTCAGAAAATCACCGAGATGCTGGCATTCGGGGTGGCGGCACACAAACCTCGCATTGCCCTTCTCGTGCCGCAGATGAACGTTCTCGACATGGTCCATCATGTGTGAAACACGCTTGAACTTTCTCATTCGAGCTGCGCGAGTCAGTCGCACATCCCCCACACAGAAGATGCATTGCGTTTTGCCTAGCAGGAGCGGAAAATTTTCGAATGGTTCGGGCTTGAGAACTAGTTTGGACTCAGCCATCTCAGGAGAGGATTCTCTGCTTGCCTCTTGAGAAGGTGTCGCTCGAGGCTGGCGCACTTCTCGGCAAGCGGCGAGACGAACCATAATATCGATAGCTCTGATTTTGCGGGCTGTTATATCTTTGAGACTCATATCCGTACGAAAGTCGCAGAGAATATTCTGCAAGCTTGAGCGCTCTGGAAGCTGATGCTCAACGGCAGGCTCGGTCTTCTCTTCAATAACCATGCCATTCAGTTGTCTCTCCAACTCTTCGTTGTGCATCCGTCGCCGGTACTCTTCCTGGTATACTTTGGTCATATCGCACCTGAAGGCTTTCTCAGAGTTTCGCAAATCACAACGAAGCTGCGAATACTTTGCTTTGACTTTCTTTGGGGCTGACTTGATAAATCCATACTGCTGTC